TCAGTTTGTTGTTGCTCCTATCACTCTTCACTGGTCCGCTATTCTTCGGTATCTACAAGGTACGTTGCATTAGAGTTTATTATTTTCTTTCTCATCGTCTCTAGAACTCCGAGCTTTCTCTGATGCAGATTGGGCTATTGAATGGATCGCAAGTCCACCACTGATTTTTATCTCTTTCTCGGTGATTCTGTTATTTCGTGAAAAAACAAGAAACAAACTATTATGGCTCGATCCTCCACTGAAACTGAGTATCGTGCTATGACATCCACCACAGCAAAGATAGTTTGGTTGCATTAGCCGAGGATCAAACTATTGTTTCAAAATGGTCAAAACATCCGAAATATTTTCGTTTCTAAGGAGACCGAAACGAATCAGTAATGGAATCGAAATTCTGAAATTCTAATACTTCGAGGTATTCCATAATATTTTGAAACGTATTCTTATATTTCAATGTATTTGCACAATTACTTAAGAATGTTTCAAAGTATTTCATAATATTTTGGTATATTTCGACCAATGTTTTGAAAACATAATTTTTAAATTTTTTATTTTTTTATTATGTTTTCGAAACAGATCAAAACTTTTTCGAAACGTTTCCGTTTCTTAGGTGACCAAAATAATACACCAAAATGAAATCTTAATTATTGGCGTTGGCTGCTTGCCGATCTTGGCATTTCTTTGCCTACTTCTACTCCTATGTATTGTGATAACATCAATGCTATTCAAATTACCCACAACTTAGTGTTTCATGAGCGCACAAAACATATTGAAACTGATTGTCACATTGTGCGCTATCATTTTGAGTTGGGCACAATCTCTCTCCTCTTTGTTCCTTCGACTATGCAGTTACCAGATTTCTTTATGAAATCTCACACTATCGTGCTCTTCCGTTTCCTTCTTGGCAAACTCTTAATGTTTGATACTACTACATCATGAGTTTTTGGGGGATGTTAGAGTAATCTCATACATTAATAGTAGGAGTAGATTAGTCATTTGTGTTACTGCCTTAGTATATAAGACTATTATTGTGTAGTCTTCTATTTGAAGGTTTGTAATACTGACTTAGTTTACCTCAATAAGAATCTCTTTGTCTCTCTATTTCTCTTTTTTTCTCTTTCTTAGGTAAATATTAACAGCAAGAAGAGTCTGTATGGTGGTATGCTTATGCTTAACAACTGGACTGAATGTTTCAGTATAATCTAACCCAAGTTCTTGACGAAAACCATTAGCGACTAGCCGAGCTTTGTACCATTCAACAGGTCCATCAGATTTTCATTTGATCTTATAAACCCTCTTGTTGGACAGAATGTTCCTTCCAGTGGAGGGAGGAACAAGAAACCAAGTTTAATTATGTTGAAGGGCATTGAATTCAAAATACTTTGCTTGACGCCATTTAGGAATTGTGTGAGCTAGGGTAAATGAAGAAAGCTCCACCTAATCAGTGGATAAACGGATAGTGAGTGCATACTTGGGATTGAGCTTGCGGGTTCCATCTTAGGTGCGGGTCAGCATTGGATGTGTTTGACCAGAGGGTGGAGTAGAAAAATGTAGTGGAACTGGAATGGGACAAGGTCTGGCAACCAAAGAAGAAAAATCAGTCGCAGGATAAGCAGGCTGTTCAGATGGCAAACTGGAGCAAACTGAGTTTGGGGCAAAGGTGGACTGTTTACAGGAGTAGTTGCTATGGTCTGATTTATTTTTGTTATATGGTCGAAGGTATGGATAACAAGCATACCTGAAAACTTGAAGAAAAGAATAATTCGGAGGCCGATGCAACAACTTTTCATACAGGATATATGAGTTAAGACTTTTGCGGGAAGCCAATTTATAAGATAGACAAATGCATTAAATGCATCTACCCAAAATTTCGAAGATAACCCTGCTTGAGCCATAAGCATGAGACCAGTCTCTACAATATGCCTATGTTTTTGCTCAGAAACTCCATTTTGTTCAAGAGTATTGGAGCACGAGACTCAATGAACAATACCATTGGTGGACAAATATTGCTTAAACTCATCTTTGTTATACTCGCCCCCGTCGTCGGATTGAAACGATTTAATTTTGCATGAGAACAAATTTCCTGCATATGTCTTAAATTGTAGGAAATATGAAAAAGTCTCATGTTTAAATCGCATATCAAAAATCAAGAATACTTAGAAAAATCATCAACAAAGAGAAGATAATATTTCGAGCCTTTTATTGAATAGTGAGGGGATGTCCAAACATCGGAATGAACAAGTTCCAATGGACATGATGCAATAGAATTAGATAATTGAAAAGGTAAACGATTTTTTTCCTAGACAACAAGAAACAGAAAAAACATCATCTTCAACAGAACCAAGGAGAGGAAACTTCTGTTGTGAAGCGAGAAGCGGTCAAGAAAGGCCGGATGTCCCAACCATTGATGCCAAATGGAAGAAGAGGCACGATCACCAATAAAAACAAACGACAACTGGTGGTGGTGTTGAATTTGTTGATGAAGCCTCATAGGATAGAGCCCATTTTCACTCTTGTCGTGGAAAAGCATCTTCCCCGTCTTGACGTCCTTCACAGAAAAACCATTAGAGGTGAAAATAAAATAACAATTATTATCACGCGAAAATTGGTGAACAGAAAGGAGATTAACTGAAACATTAGGGCAATGCTAAACATTTTTCAAAGTAAAAGCAGATGAGTTGTGGTGGAGAGTTATGGAACCGGTATTGGAAAATAGGTAAACCTACGTTATTTCCGACTGCCACTTGGTCTGACCCTTCATAGGAGTTATGGACGAAAAGATAAGCTAGGTCGGACGTAACATCAGTAGAGGCATTGCTGTCAGAGATCCAAGTTTGTGCATCCAAGGGCCCAGAGATTTAGCCACCATAGCCTGAAATCATTTGGTTGGAAGACAACCTTCATATGCATGATTTATTAACTGATAACAATCAATGGCTATATAACCATTGCGACCACAAATCTGGCAAGACAAATCACGAGGTGAGAATTTTCGATTGGTCCAATAAGAAGAGTCGCCAAGGTGGGAATTGCCACCAGTAGACTTTGAAGTGCCTTTGTCATGAAATTTAGCATTATGAGAGGCAGAATTCCGCAAACGATAGGTATGCTTGGATTTCAGTGCATAAAGGGCTGAAGTAAGGGAATCAAGGACAGTTGAATTGTGTTCCTTGTGGCGCATTTCGACACTAAGAAGAAGACTAATAACGTCATCCAAAGTAATGACAGTATCACAAGCTTGTACCGAATTAACAGTTGCTTCATGTGCCAACCCAACACCATTTAGAATAAGAGTAACCAAATCATCCTCATCTACAAGTTACTGGCAATAGCCAAATTATCAGCAATGCCATTCATTTTATCAATAAAATCTGTGATGGACAGATTTCCTCTTTTGGTAGTTTGGAGTTGATTCTTCAGCTGCATAATTCAATTTCAGGACTGTGACGCATATCTCTTCTCAAGAGACTTCCAAACATTATGAGAGGTAGACAAGCGAGCCACCGTAGACAACATAGTGGGTGTGAGAGTGGCATTAATCCAACTAACTAGGGATTGATCCTATTGTTGCCAGCTAACATACTAGGATTGATAGATGTGCTTAGTTTGCCATCGTTGTCTACTAAGAACATCGCTGGACACGGCTTTGTTCCATCAACATAGCCAAATAGGTCCATGCTTTTGAGCAAAGGAATGAACTGAGCAAGCTATAACACATAGTTGGTCCGATCAAGCTTGATGGATACGAGATGAGATATATTTAGAGAGTTGGAAGAAGTTGAAGCCCTGGAGGATTGAAAAAACAAATTGTGTCGTGAGACTAAAGCTCTGATACCATGAAAGAAAACTTCAACGCAGTAGTTTTGTTGAGCTTGCCAACTTAGCTTCATAATTAAAGAAATGATTTACAACTAAACTCCTTGAGTGCAGAAGTTCCAAATAAACTAAACTAATTTTAAATTACATGATAAGTATATCTATCTAGATAAGCTAAGACTAAAATATAATTCAAATGGGATTACAGATATTGTTGCTCATTGGACTGCCGCTTGGTCTATTATGTGGATGGGTCACAAACCACCGCATCCACCACTCAAATCACCACATCAATTCCTCTTCCTCTTCGTCAGCTACCACAAAACGTGGCATCACCAACAATCACTACCTTTGGCTCATCTTCCCCACTTAGACTTCTTCTTTCTTCTGGTCCCATAGCCATCACTACTAGAGTATTACAGATTGGTGATTGCAGTCGTGTTTGGTGGTACCGTGGAGTGCAAGGGTGCTGTAATGTATTGTGGGGGTGCTCTGGGTTGCAGTCTTTTTGTGTGTGATTAGAGAGAGATACACACACACAGACAGACAGAGAAAGGGGGTATTTTATCATTTCAATGCAATTATATTTTTATCTTTTGACCATGACAATTTTTAGGGGGAAAAAGTATTCTTTGACGTCAATGCATCAAACAGGGATGTGCTCTGCACGCACCATTTAATTCGACTGAACTATAGTTATTGCACATTGATCTAAAATCACGTGAGGATTATGTTCCTATATTCTAAGGATATAGGATTAGGTGAAGTTCTACTTCTACAAGGGAATACAACAAGAGCTAGACTAGAAGTTTCCTTTTATATTATGGCAATGTTTAGTTTGAGCACTTCTCACATCTAACTTAGATCACATGTGGTCAGGTATCTCAATGAGTTGGATTTTGGCCTGATACCAATCTGCACTGGCTAGAAACCTCCTACTATACTGATGATCAGATTTGTCAGATGGTCTGGTAATGAAACCAATGGACTTATTTGGTTGATTTGTTGGTGGCAGACATTTAGAGGCAGATGGTTGCTGCCATTCTTAATTTTGGGTTCTAAACCATTAATATCCAAACTTAACATTTGGTTATTCGAACAATGGGACATTAAGTATTGAGATAGATCTTAGTTAAAAGTATCCAAAGATCAGTGGAAGATAGCTCCCCGTAGTGGAGAGGAGGAGACTATACAGACGACACGTACCTGAGAAGACCTCCTTTTGAAGCAGCACCGAGAACCAAAACCTCAATTGCTGAATGCTTAACACATTCAATTATTGCTTTCACAACATCTGTATCTTCTACGACGACTTCTTGGCATTGTATCTGATTCATAGTTGCATGGGAGGGAGAATAAAAGTTAGCATATAACGACAGATAACTCAATGATGGATGATACGAAAACAAATAAATGCCCGTGATCTACTAGGGTTATCTTCAATTTCAGCCTAGATTTAGTTCAGGTTGTTTTGCTTTTTCTTTTGAGACAAAGTTGGAATAAGACGACAGATAAATCATGATGGATGAAAGACAATAAATAAATGCTTGGAGATCTTGTCTTTTTACTTTCTTCTCTTTGTTGTCCAACCTAGATTAAAGTCAGGTTGTTCTAATGCTCATCTTGAGAGAAGTTCTGGTGGGTTCCGCCACAGTTGTTTTGTCCCTGCTCAATGAAAAGGAATAACAGAAAGATTGGAGCTTGGTACTCACATCTTTACGTGTACAAAAGCAGCGGAAGGGAAGGAACAATTCTTTGGTTTGAAAATCAGAATCCCCAGAAATAGATCCAACTTCCTCACTAACATTGGAAATCTGGTTTGATCCTGCACCCAAACAGCATTTAAAAGTTATTGTCATGCATAAAAAAACTTCGCTTCCAGTGTTGTTTTTGTTGCTGTAGATTATGATGATGTAGTTCTCGTTTTTATTATTCCTGTTATCATAATATACAATAAACTACTTTAATATGTAATTATTATTATTATTCTGTTTTTGTTTGTTGCCTCGGTTGTGCTGCCCTACATCATCTTATTTATATTGAACAATATTTCGAGTAATTACAATATTACCCTACACTAACTTATGCTCATAATCATAAATATAAAACATAAAAATAGGAACTCTAATGCTCCCCTCAAGCTGGACCATAAAGATAAAAAATGGCCAGCTTGGAACAGGGGTTCAACTCAGGCAGGTTAGTGGATCATTCCAGGTCCAACCCAAATTGTAAAACTTTTAATCCTAACCCAACCCGAGCCCAACTTCCAACCTGAGGTACTCAACCCGATTATTGTCCAAATTAATTTCGAACTAGTTCGGGTTAACTAATTTGGATTGAATTTGGGTTCGCAATTTAGGTTGAATTTCGGACTCAATTTCCGGCATGACACAATAACTTGACCAACTTAAATTCAAAATAAATTCAATAAAAACCTAAAATACACTTCATGTGTGTGTGTATATATATTTATTTATTTATTTATTTTAATTTTGGGTTGAACTTGAATTGTGAATTCGGTTTGAATCTGAATTGTGAA